TTTGTTAGGATATTTACTGTCAGAATAGCACCAAGTCGTGTGGGTAAATAGTCTAAATTTTGTAAACCAAACATTGACCAATAGTGTCAGTTATCAGATTTCTGATTTTCCACTGTTAATGCCTCTAGATTGCCTAAAAATGCGAGTTTACAGGTATAATTTTTAAAAAATTTCCCGGGGGAGGACCCCCGGACCCCCCTCTGTGCAGGGGGGTATTCCATACCCCCCAGACCCCCCGGTTGGCGCCTTCGGGCTGGTCAAGGTTTACGCCCTAAAAGAGTACCCAGTCCGCCCCTGATTTCAATTGTGCAAAGACAGTCTAGTCTGGAGGTAGCATAAATTAATGAGCCGGTTCGTTATAACCTAAACTTTACCTTCCTAATCGAACCTAACTTCAAAACACTTAATACAGTCACAAATTCACATAAAACCCAACCTACCTTCCCCACATGCCTAACTAAGAGCTGATTATTTAGTTTCAAAACAATTTGATTTAATTCCGCATTGAGTCAAGTATAAACAGCTGTTTGCTTTGTTCACACAGTCCTCGACCTCAGCCCACATTCGGACCCGTCCAGACCACGCCATATTACCATCCGAACCGCGAAATGAACCTTAGATTCGTAATTTTAGCCTTCGTTTTACATCCACTTAGGAATCTTTCCGACAAAAACGGATTGCATTTTTGGAATCAGCGTGAAAAATACTGTAAGGAAACATCTAAAAATTACATCATTTCTCAATGTAGACATACTAAATAATTGCCAAATATTTTATCGGATGAGTAAGTTAAATACATTTCATCTTAACAATGCATATCAATATTTATCCGATTCAATTTTTCGATTAAAAAAAATTCTTTTTTTCCAATGTATGTCGCTAAACATCAAATTGATTTATGGTTGGTACGGTTTTTGTTCATACCTATTTAAGAAATTAGGCTAAACTACTGTCTAGGACTAACTTACAATTTGACCAATAATAAATAATAAGTTAGGCCTATTAAAAAGAAAGGGTACAGTTTCATATCTTTGGCACAAACAACCGAATGAGTAATATTAATTATTCGATTGTTTAATTCGATATATCGATCGATATTACTCATTCGGTTGTTTGTGCCAACAGATATGGAAGTGTACCCAAAGGAAACAAAACAAATAGGCCTAGGCCTACCTAATAACAAAACAACCAAGGATAAAACAATAAAATGCTTCTTTAATGTTTGGTTACCTCGGTAGGTGTACCTATGGCTCTGGGAAGTGGGATTTTTTATTTATATCATATGGTAAATGTTTGATGAACTTAAATTCAATAGGCCTAGGCCTACGATTTTAAGTTAAGTTAAAATCAAACCGATAAGTAGTTATTCATCTGATAAAATAATTAAGTTATTGTTGGTTCTCTGCGGAACTGTAACTTACCCAGTAGGTAACATAGGTAAGAAAAATAGCCTACATTTTTATAAACTCATGAAAAAGATCAAAGTTAACTTAGGCTACCGTAGCCTAACTTAACTTATGTATTTAAAAATTTATCTCTTTAACAAATCATAAGTACACAACAGATTCATGTTGATTTTTAGAAATGTTACCTTTGTTATTAGGCCTATTATAAACTAAAAAGTAGGCTACCAGTGTAAAGAGTCTCCTTAAAAAAAAATCTTAGGCATAAATTGTTCAATATTGAAATAGGCCTTGGCCGACATGATAAATAGGTACGGTAAGTTGTATCGCCTAAAAGTGAACCGATTACAATAAGTTATCGCATATAGGGTATATTAAGTTAAACAAAAATATTTCATCTGATAAATTATCGTAGGCTAGGTTCTCTGCGAAACTGTTCCCCTGAAGGACACAGATATAGTAGCTAAAAGAAAGTTATAGGATAGGCCTACATTACTTTTTAGGTCTATTTGGGTAAGTTAGGGTTATATTAAGGCCTACCTTTCTTAGTTTAAACTTTCTACCGTAGGCCTACATTCTTTGACGGTGAAAAACACATTAAACACAGATTGTTGTATGAACAAATAAACATAACTTACATAGTACTGTGACATCATTAGACACAGATTTTTAACAAAACACTTGACAGGCCATACCTAGGCTAGGCAAAACGGCCGTCTAGGCAATTAATGTAACAGACACACTTTACACAAAACAACTTTACATGACACAGCACTTCCTCGCTTCACCGCCTTCCTTCAAAAGTTTATACTGTTTAGGCTATATTTTGAAGTTAAGATTATCTACCTCAGCATTCTGATTGTCTGTCTCACCATTCGTCCACTGCCTTGGTACAATCGATGAAGACCTGTGAGCCCAATTTTATGTCTGCTCGTACCGTACGTCTTGATCTTCACTTCTTGGTTATCTGCGTAGTCCTTTTGTTATGGGCCCTTAGCAGCATTATTATAAATGGGCTAAGTTAGCTCTTTGATGCAGTAGGTTCCCACTTATTGACCTACAGTATTTAGTGTTTAATACTTGATGAAGGGTACATAAGCTCAGTTGACACATAGTCGACTGAGAGTTCAATATTAACCCTTAGAGTGCCAGGCGAGAAATAAAAGTAACGCTCCAAAAATGCCGATGATTTTTCCCGAAGGTCGCGCTAAAAATGCCGAGCGCGATCTGGCGATTTTTAGGTTAAAATTTCGTAAAAATCGAATTTTCGATATTTCGACCAACGAAAATCGATGTATCGCATCTAGTAACTTTCGACTCAATGTTAATATATGGGTTAAAAGAATCCGAGTATCCATTCGGTTGCTATGACAGCTGTTCGATCATTACGAAACGTCCGGTCAGCCGGACGTTGGCACTTTAGGCTCGTTCTAAAAACGTCCGGTCGGCCGGACGTCGGCACTTTTGGCTCGTTTTAAAAACGTCCGGTTCCCCGGACGTTGGCACTCAAAGGGTTAGACTCACTAAAATTTGTCACTTATTCAGACCAAAGTCGGGAAAGCTCCTTCCTATTGCCTATTCTTGTGTCCATTGGCTGAGTTTCATCCGCTCTTCATCAGAACTGAGTCTATACTTGTTCTAGGTTAACCTTAACTTAATGAATGAGGTTTGAGTTGAATCTAAAATGCAGTTTGATTGCATTACTTACCTACGTAATTTAAATGGATAGGATTTTATTCACAAACTTTTAAAACCTACTTAGGTTGCCGTCTTATTATCAATAGCAGAATGCACTAAACCTTGAGGAGTATGTTCTAACTTAACTAAACTAACTTAACTAAACTTAACTTAAGGCAGCATTTCTGATTCTGTCTTAGTTAGCGAGTAAACTGCAGACGACCGATGAAAAAAAGATATTAAATGAAAAAAACCTTATTTGATAAAAAAAGTCTTAGTACTTATGTTATATCATTATACAGTAATATGAAAGTACAGTAACTTATCTAAATATTTTGGGGCAACATTTGAATGACTGACTGAATAGATAAAGCCACCGACGCGAGAACTGAAATTTAATTTAGAACAACCAGAACGAAAATAACTAAAACCATTGATTATTAGATAGTGAAATCTTATCTAATATTAATTAGTCAAAGATAACACTTAACTTTTAGCAAGTTAGGAAACAATAAGTTAGTAGACTTTCACCCACGGCATCGTTTACCGTCGCGTCGTACTTATTATATAGCATTGCCTACTGAAGAAACGTAACATGTAGAATAAACATGTAAATATTTATTTCTCAATCAATTGCGATACATTTTAGTAGATAATTTGTTAACTCCTGCCAGTATTTTCGTAAATACATTATTATCCTAGAAATTGTAGAGTTATAATGTGAATACGGTTTGACTGTTACTCTATGGATGAAAGAGTAGTCGTTCTCTTTGTCTCAAGTAAACGACAAAATTGTAGGTCGTAAAATGTAAACAAATAAAAAGAAGAAGAAGGTAGCTCATAGTGTTAATCTTATGGGACAAAATTAAAAATGTTTTTTTAAGATTTTATAATAATTACGGAACAAATATTTTTCAACAACTAATGGTCGCAAGATAAAGTGGTACAGAATCTTTGTGCAACACATCAAGTTTATAACTTTAAGCATTCTCGAGATTTCGATCAACATAAAGATGCATTTCACCCCAGTATGAGAATTCACTTCGTTCATTCAATAAAATGTTTTTAGGGTACTGTGGTATTTTGATTTACTTAGTAACATTTAAAGTAACCCTCATTGATGTATACAATAACAAAATAGATATATATATATATATATGTGTCCATCCGCACGATAACTTGAGTAATTTTTGTCCGATTTTGATAACATTTGGTTTGAAGGTGTAAGGCGGGATAAACTTGAATGAGTTCGCGAACCAGCATGATCGGACTATGGGAACGAGGGTTTATGGGGGGTTTTATGGGGTAAAAATAGGTTTTTCCCATTTTTGACCCTAAAAACACAGAATTTCACAATTTCTTTTTAAACCATTTTGTAGAGCTTAAAAAAACAAATAATTTAGTATGTTGAAGCGTTATTATGCGCCTAATTGTTACGGAGAAAATTCAAAAAAATTGTAATTTTAAAATTCCCATGTTATTCTTATGGAGAATAAGTCAACTGTTGTAGTTTGCTTGTTTATGAACATATTTTGATCGATTTTGGAAAATACTTTTATTTCTTACTAAACTATTATCATTTTATAAAAAAAATCTTTTTTACCCTCCCTGTTGCAGCAAACCTAAGTACTCGTTAAACTAATTCTATTGAAATAGGAAATAAATGTGCTATTTTTATGGAGGCATTTTAGTGTAAATCCAATCAGGTTAATGGAAATTCGCTTAGTCTGCAGGTTTGCTGCGGCGGGGGTATTTTTTTTTTATATAAAACAAATTAACATAACTTAACTTAACTTCTAGACATATCAATTTTTTTAGAGTTTTTTTTTGGCTTTTCTTGATATCTGACCATTTTGCCGTTCTGAGCATGGCCCAGTCCCGTTTTTCGTATAGCCAAAATTAGTTGTAAAAATTAATTACCTGATCAGTTGCCACCTGCCATCACACATCTGTATTGATCTACCTGATCCCTTGATAGTGACGGACTCATACTCTCAAGAGCTGACATCCAATGCTTCTGCTTGACTTCTGTCACTGACATCCCGTCAATTGTTAAAGCCTCCAGCCCTGCCTGAAGGGATTAACAACAATAATTATAAAAAAAGAAATCAACATTTGAATTTGTAATTATCAATGGTTCTATACATTTTACTTTTGTTGATTTAATTAATGTTAAATAGGTAAATGTAAATGCCATGGATTATGGAATTTCAATTATATCAGCTGTTTGTACATGAAATTTGTGTCTTAACAGGGTTCCAATTGCCGGCTGGTTAACGGGTAAACATGGACCTATAAAAAATAACCTCGTTGCATAAATTAAGTGTTTATTGAGTTGAAATTAATTGTAAAATGTTCACAAAGATCCAAAGTACGCACTGGATCAACTGAAACTTTGTAATGAATTCTTGAAGTATTTGCAAAATGGTTTTGAAAGTCTGTAAATTATACTTATTTACATGTTATTTTAACTTATAAATAATAGCTAAAAAATAATTTTTCCCTATCCATTGCAAACTCTGATATGTTAAGAGCACAAAAAGCACATAATCATTGACAACAAATTAGTTTTAGAAAGTTGAGAGCTTGTAGAATAGAGGCATGTTCAATCTCAAACTATATTTCAATCCATATAATCCACTATCTTGAATTGAACTTCAGGCTGCTGGGTTGAATCCACTTAATTAACAAACAAGTGTATGACAAACAACGACAGACATACTTTAGATTCTATATGTATATAGATTATCTTCTAACTCTAAATATAGTTAAGTTCAACAAAATACACTAAACCTGTAAACACACTAAAATTGTTGAAAAGCACCTTTACAAACGTGCATCAGCGCCACTAAAATCACAATAGGAAGTATATAGTCCAGGCAAATTAGATCAAATATAGGGAGTGCTCCCCAAAAAATCGTCTAAAGCTGGAAAGTGTTTTAATACCTTTTGGGGGTCCCAAATAAGAGTCCTGTGAGTTTGCGACGGATTCTGACGTCTGCTTAATTTTTGGGAGTAGAAAAACTATGAATATTTTGCACTTTTTTTAGTTTTTCGCTTATAACTCCTAAATAACAATTCATACGGAAAATGTTGTTCTAAGGTCTCTTTTAGTCCATTACATTCTGCGTCGTTTGGTGTTAAATACGTCAAAATCGGCCGAGCCGTTTAGCCGCAGTAGCTTTCTAAAGTTGGGTCATTTTCATCAACATGGCCTAAAAGTTGATTATTTGACCAGTTTTCGGCTTACAACTCCTAATCAACACTTGCTACACAAAAATGCACCTGTAGTTAGTTTGGAAAACACAAAATTCTGCGTAATATGTTTTTTTTTACTAATCAATAATGGCAATTGATTGCTACCTACTTTGTATGGTTACCATTTCATTGAAAAAAAAAATTAATATTAAATATTAATTTTAGTAAAATTTTCCAACTATAACTTTAATATTTTTTCGATTAAATGGCGACCATTCAAAGTAGATAGCAATCAATTACCATTATTGATTGGTAAAACACATATTACGCAGAATTTTGTGTTTTCCAAACTAACTACAGGTGCATTTTTGTGTAGCAAGTGTTGATTAGGAGTTGTAAGCCGAAAACTGGTCAAATAATCAACTTTTAGGCCATGTTGATGAAAATGACCCAACTTTAGAAAGCTACTGCGGCTAAACGGCTCGGCCGATTTTGACGTATTTAACACCAAACGACGCAGAATGTAATGGACTAAAAGAGACCTTAGAACAACATTTTCCGTATGAATTGTTATTTAGGAGTTATAAGCGAAAAACTAAAAAAAGTGCAAAATATTCATAGTTTTTCTACTCCCAAAAATTAAGCAGACGTCAGAATCCGTCGCAAACTCACAGGACTCTTATTTGGGACCCCCAAAAGGTATTAAAACACTTTCCAGCTTTAGACGATTTTTTGGGGAGCATATGTCTAATTTGCCTGGGCATGTAAATGTTCACTATTTAACTAAATTAAAAAAATGACAAAAACTTTTATCTAAAAGCGGAGCAATTGAATTTTGTTTGTAAAATGGATTACGGATGTGTAACTACTAACTATTTCATAAGGCAGACTTGAGAATGTGAACCAATCTTCCCCGCTCTGTGTTCCCTTCCCGATGGGTATAGCGACTAGTACAATATAAAACTTAATTGGAAATGGTGCTTCTACTAAAATACAATGAATTCAACAGCTATTCCAACTCAATCAAAATTCGAATGACTTACCTCCTTACATAACTGAGCAAGATCTGCTCCAGAGAATAAGTCTGTTTTTTCAGCCATAACCGACAAATCAACATCATTTGCAAGGGGCGTTCTGTATAAACAGATTTATTCAATTAATGTGCATGTCGATACAATCTAGTATGTCAGGTGTAAGTTTTAATGTCAATGGTACTCATTCAGTCCCACAACAGAAAGTTTACTCAGTTTGATGGTTTTATCAATTGGTGATGTTGGCAATATTTATCCACAAGGACAATGGAACAATCAACTGGTCATTGGAACAATGTTTAGGGACCAATTCACATACAGCGGAACCTTGATAAGAAGACCCTCGATAACAAGTCGCCCTTGATAACAAGTGTCATTTTTAAATCCCCTTAAAATTATTTTACCCCTAATCACATGTTATTACAAACCTCGATAAAAAGTCAACCTTGATAACAAGTCTTATTTTACAATCCCCATGAGAGTCTTATTATCAAGGTTCTACTGTATTTGTCATTCCTAGACACTATGCAAGAGCCTACATAGAAATACAGTCAAACAAAAAAAAGAGAACTTATTTCAGTAAATTTTTAGGAAAAACATCTTTTTGATTTTAATTTGATTAGGGATTTTCTCAGGGTGGGGTTAGTTCCAGTCAGTATTTTCGCTGTGATTACGAGTGACAATGATGATGCTCTGCACTTGCGGGAGATGTTCCAGACCAGACTACACTGCTTTTGCAGGAGACAATGATCTCTTTGCTATAGCGGGAGATGTACATGATTTGGCCAAAGTGAAGATAAATGTAAAAATCCTATCCAATCCCAAACTGAACGTCCAATCTTGTTTATCCCTTATAATGACTACTGTAACATTTTCATTTAAATCATAAACGATGAACAGATATTTTTGATCTTAAAATATGTGTTGCATTTGATTTTGACCTTTGCTAGTAATTTTGTACGTTGTTTTCATTGGTTCAAAATTTTTATAAATATTGTAGAGTCAAGTAAGTGTATTGCAAACATTCTTGAAAGAGAATTTTTAATTTTATACAGCCTAAGAGATAAATTCACAAACCAGTGATGTTTTTATATTTTCACAAACTGAAAAAGAAACCTATGAAGAAGTAGCATTATATTTTACCTTTTTGTGAGTATTTGTAAGATTTCCAACCGCTGGTTGACATCAGGGGGGCCAACGTAGACGATTCTATCAAATCGCCCAGGCCGAGTTAGTGCTGGATCCAACACGTCGGGCCTGTTTGTTGCTGCCACTACAATCACTCCAGCCTATCGTAAAACAGGGAAATTACAGAATATAACCTGAGAGTTGTTAACCACATCACTAGTAGATGTACTATGATCTGAAGATGAAAGTTAAACGATGATAAACATATTAATAACATTAATGTTATTACTTGTTTATACAATTAATAAATGATTAATAACTAATTTCAATAAGAATGAACTCAAATTTTTTGGCTCCACTCGTCTTGCGGGCCTTACTACTCGCCGGTTTCCGTTGCCGTTTCCCGCTCACTGGTTCGCAGGCCCCCTCGGATCCCGGGCCCCCCTGCATTGTGGGCCCTTCTGTTACGCCACTGTATTTATGTCCTACAGTATTTACGTTGTGAGGATAATTGTGATAGTCATTTCATCATGTAGATTTAAACCTTATCAATTATGGATGTGTGTTGCACCAAGCAGTCTGTGGTGTAGCCTACAGTTAACCACTTACTTGAGTTGTCCCACTGTCCAATCTAACACCGATCCCATCCATTTCTGTCAGAAAAGCAGTAAGTATCCTTTCTTGTGAGCCTCTTTCTCGGTTCCCGCGGCAACCAACCAAGGCATCTAAAATACAGAAGCTTACGTAAACTGACTTCTCTGGCACCAAAAAATTAATCCTTGAGAATAACAGTTACATTGTGTTAAAAAACAAATTATTATTTGTGGTAAGTTAATAATTAGATATATTTTATTTGAACCATAAGAAAACATGAAATTATGAGCAAAGAATTACTGATGATCTAAACAGGGTTAGGTCCCAGTTAGTTAGGAATATCGGAACTCTACTGTTGTGTCAAATAATGATTAATTAAAAAAAGTTCTATTGGATTTATTTTTCTGGAAAGTGTATTTTCTTTCTTTTGTAAATATATCAGCAAAAGTTTATCATTTGTTACATTTTTTCCAATCTGTGAGAAAATCAGTGATGAAATATGCAAACTATTTAATCAGAGGTGAAAAATGGAGATTTAAGCTAACCGATTTCGTCGATGAACAGTATAGCAGGTGCGCCAATACGAGCTCTATGGAACAACTCTGAGACAGTTCTCTCAGCATCGCCAACATAGGGTGAGTAAATTTCAGCAGCCGACACTGCAAGGAAGGTTGTGTTGGTAGCGGAAGCAACAGCTCGCACTAAACTGGTTTTGGCACATCCTGGCGGGCCATACAGCAATACCCCTGAAACATCACCAACTAGTTGCAATGGACTGTAGTTTAAACTGTGTCACAGTGTGCAGAATAGGCAATCTGGGTTGATGACTTGTGGACCTTGCAAATTAGGAGTTGTGCTGGAGGTGATTGTGTTCTGAGCGATTAAATAAAACACCTTTAGCAAATAAAGTGGCCAGTCAGCCAAGAGGAGTAGAGAAAGTTTGAGTGTTTGTTACCACTGTCTTTGGGTTTAATTCTTACGTTAAGATTTCTAAGAGGGAAGTGTTGGTTAAATATAGCTTAATTATAGCTGCGGACAAGCCTACTGAGGCTTTTGTAGCTTTGTATGAAATGTATTTTGATTATTATGTTTTTTGTTGCATGAATAATAAATAAATAAAAGTGATTTCCAGTCAAAGGGTTTTATATTTATTCTCAGTTCTGTGGACAGAATTAGTATTTTGGTTTTGAAACAATAGAATGAATAATTGTGTAGGAGTGCAGGGCCGAGTGCCGTATGCGTAAACACTTTGACGAGGGTCATATTACAGCCTGAGGCTTGGCAGGGCGAGTGCCGGCCAGGTCAGGGACTGGTTCCACGGTGCGGCGGGTATGGTGATGTTAAGATTTTCTGTGGGGGGGGGGGGGGGGGGGTGAGCAAAATTGGTTTTAGGGATGAAATGAAAATGTTATAACCTTAGTTAGCTTACTGTTAGTTTCGTCACCTATTACTTCCTCGTTTATTTCAGCCGGTCGCTGATAATAGAAAGACATACTCAGCAGTTCCAACAGTTATTTCAGCAGTTCCAACAACCATGCAAAAATAATATGGTAAGTTATTACCAAGGTAATATTAATATTAGGGATGGTCAAGTCTCGAAATTTCGGGAAAGTTTCGGGAAATTTTAAATCTCGTTACACGAGACGAGATTTCTTTTTGGCCGAGATTTTTATCAAGACGAGAATAAAAAAAAAAAAAAAAATTAAAAACGCCTGCAGAAAGTCAATGCAATACCCGCAATACAGGAGCGTGTTGTAGTTGCGTTTCCTTTGCGAAGGCGTTCTTATTTAATTAATTCTTTAAATCTAAATATTACTTTTTATTTGAATAATATTACTTTAATAACATTTGAGAAGTTTTAAGTGTAAGCAGTGTAAGGAATGTTTTATTACTATAAAAAGTCAAAACAAGTAACTATTTCATAAAAATTAATATTGCTTTTATTTTATGATTTATTTTATTTTGGGATAAGTTGAACTCTATCCTAACTGATATCACTATGCTTTCTAATCGTAGGCATTTTTAAAAAGTTAGGCGTGATTAATAAAAAAATGTTATGCTGATGTTTTTTAATAAAAGATTGTAAATATTCTTGCCTATTATCATTATTTTTGTATTTAAACAATCATCTAACAATGTTACAAAATCAGGTAAAAATTTTGAACGCTCATTTCCCGTTGTGTATGAGAAGGAAAATCCCGTCTCGATCTCGTCTCGAAATTTTATGAGAAATAAAAAATCTCGTCTCGTCTCGTCTCGAACTAAAAATCCAATCTCGTCCATCCCTAATTAATATTACATTTAAAACATCAGTAATACAATAGCCTCCTCTGATACAAAGCCGTGTGGCAACCTCCCACTGGCCAGCCTATTGCCATGGTAATAACAAACAATCAGGCCAAGACTTAGGGTTGCCAAGAAGAAATAGATTTTTTCTGAAAGTATTGCCACAAGATTTTACACACCTTTAGGCTGAGGTAGGCCCATCCGCTGAAAGGCCTCGGCGTGTTCCAGAGGCCACTGTATAGCCTGCAGTAAACTTAGCTTGACCTTGTCTACTCCACCAAGTTCATCTAGTGAGCCTTCCCCAGTCAATGGTGCCACAACACCCAGCTGGCCTCGTAAACAGCTGGGGCGGAGCTGCCCTACACAGGTGCGCCAACACGGCAGAATGTCTGCTTCTATATCACTAAATCAGAGTGAAAATGGTGGTTAGATGTGTTATTTGTCATATGATATTTCTAAATAATTATAAGATAGATTAATCAAAAAATAAAAACAGAGCTTGGTTAAAACAAAAATTAAAAACCGAGGCGAATTTGTCTTTTTTCCAAACACTTAACCGTTGATGGTTCATAGAACCATTTACTGTGAAAGAACAAACAATAAATTTGTCGAGCAAACAAGATGCTTTTGGTACCAGGCTACGTATTTTAAGACGAAGGTGAGTGAGGAATGAGGGTTGAATGGATGAGATGATAGTATTGTAACTTACTATGATCAGTGTTTTTTTTTTTAGCCAGGACCATTTTATCAAAAGCCCAATGATCAAGGAAAGCTGGGTTCAAACAATCAAAAAAGCTTCTGAATTATCTCAGGACTATTGGACTATAAGCGACTATTGGAGAAAAGATTTATACTATTTATTTCAGTTTAAGGTTAAGAATTGTCAACAGAAACATTCTTAATCCTCAGCTCATTTTTACTTTCTCACTTATACATATTATATAGGGAAAGTATTGTATCTATACTTATTTAATACGCAAGCACGATTTTTGTGACAATTACTCCTCCGAAACTACTGAACCGATTGACATGTTTTTGGTGTCATTGGAAAGAGCGTAACGTGAAGTTGTGCAGGAAACTTTCTTTTTAGTTAAATAATTAAAGAGTGCGGCCCTGGGGCCCTTTAAAGTTTCGCATTTCTCCTTAAGATTAACATGGGAAACAAACATTGTTTTGAAACTCCAGCTGTTGTCAGAAATTAAATATTAAATAATTGGTCTCCATGGAAGCATGAGAAAATTCACAATGTTTACATTTGCTTTGACATTTTTTTGTAAACAATCAGAACTGTCAAATGTCTATTTCACAAATTCCGACAGCTGATCCAAAAAATGTATTTTCCTTCCACCATGTAAAACAACTATGTGGTAGGTTTATTTAATCTTAAACTTTATGATAGATTATTTATTATAAATCTATTTCAATGATTATGAAACAGATTTTTCCCGTTGCGAAGCAAAAATTAATTGTGAGAAGAAGAACATAATGTAAAACAGTCAATGTGTAAATTATCTATGTTGTATTAAAAATATGTTTAGTTTTGGATGTTGGTTTGTGTTAAATGATATCGGTTATTAGTTATTGCATTTTTATTCTAAGGATTTGGCATATGAGTAAGCCTATGATAAATAACACCATTTCAGAGTTCTGCCAGTTTTTGCCTAACTCTATCCTGTAGAGATTAGTAGCCTACACCTTATTGTCTAGATATTGGCTAAACAACTTAGGTACGGTAATTTATAAAAGCTGACGGCCTTTTTACGTTGACTTAAATTGTAAGCTTATCTTTTCCCGTACATGGGCAGATTGATTGTTAAAAATTAACCCTTTAAACTAGAATAGGACTGTCATGTAAATTGTGAGTATTTCCTTTAGTTAATAATCTTTTAGTTGACTCTTTTAAAATCATCATAAATTATGACTGTTATTAGTTTTTAAACAAGTTATTTGTTTATAAATAACTCCTGTACTTCTTTGCAATTGCTCGATTTCGAGCAACATGTACACTAGTTTGTCTAAAGTTTTAAGTTTGACTTCTTGGTGGAAATATCAGTCTTGGGCCTCTCTGAACCCATAAAACTGGTGTTGGCTGTGATGTCTGTGTGTGTGAGTGTGAATGTGTGACAAACAAATTAACTAAGGTGTGTTAGCCTAGTGGTTAACGCCACGCCACTGGTTCCAGTGCAGGAGGGGCGGTTTGATTTCCAGCATATATTTGCCCAAAATGCTTCTGGCTTACAAAAAAACACACTTACTGGCTCATTATCATTCCTTGCTTTTCCATGTGCCGAGCAACATTTGCAGCTAACAGCGCGAGATCAGCTCCAACAAAGCCGGGAGTCCACCGAGCGACTCGGTCACTCACAGAGTCGCTCATTCCCATTTGACGAGTCACAGCGCTTACAATACTGGCTCTCTCCACCTCGGAGCTGACTCCGATGTGAATCTGCAAAGAGTGTTAATTAAGATGGATAAAAAAATTCTCCAACTTGATATATTAATACGTGGGCAAAACCTCATGCTTCTGCTTCCCCTGGGTTTTGCTTACTGTACAGCTAATCAGGAGACATAGCCCTAGTATTAAATTTAAACACTTAGGCCTACTTACAAATTAACTTAACTTAAGACAAACAAATTACGTAAAGTAAATAAAACATCTTATAACACTTAAAACATATATTTGCGCTGAATACTGTTACTCACGAGACGGTAAAAACACAAAAAAGATGGTAAGTGGTTTCACAAAATTCACAAAGAAAATAAAAATTTGGATGACATTGCTACACCAACATCTGAACACAAACAAAAGGTGTGCAGAAAAATCCTAAATTCAGAAAATAACTGTGAAGTTTAGTCAGTTAATAAAGCCTAACGCCTTGGGCTCCAGTTTCCCTAGTTAATAATTTAAAAGTACCTGGGGACCAAGCTTTTCTAGGGTAAACTCATTAGTATACTCTGAGAGCTATCTTTGGTCAATGTCATTTGCTTAATTTTCTTTTGCAGTATATTTATACTAAGTAAAATCAGGGCGCTATGCCAGGGGAGCACCGTGGCTGTGGAAGGTAAAACAATCTAACAACATTACAGATTAAAATCCCGCCCCAGGCATCACCTTTGGGGAAGCCCTGTCCTGAATCAATAACAGCATCAGATTCAAAATGTTGGAGTAATTGTTACACTGAAATAATTCCTTAAAAAGCTATAAGATATTAGACATTTTTCCCTAATAGTAGGCTAATTTACCTCGTGGTCAAATCGGCCTGGTCTACGGACAGCAGGATCCAGCAATTGAGGGCGGCTGGAAGTACCGACAACAATCAAGCCAGCTGTTGAGTTGACAGTTTCCAGTAGAGCAAACAGCTGATTTGACAGTCTATCAATAAACAGAAGCCATAAATAAATGTTGATACAAAAAATAAACAGCTGTGGTGAGTTGTTTAGCAATTTCTCAACCATGAATATTTCTCTTTTACTACATTATTTTCATGCAAGTTACAAATGATTTTTAACAAGTTGCCTTTTTAAGATCAAGTATGACATGGTCAAAAGTCTTCATGATCTTATTTTGTACCAAGTACTCGGTCATAAAATCACTACAAGAAACAAAAACAAATTGTTATTAGAGTTTCTGTCAGTTTAAAGAATAAAAGCAGACATAAATAAAGGTTCTAGAGTAATACCTGATTATGTGGCCATCGGAACTTCCATCTCGACGACCACACAAACATTCAACTTGATCCAACAGCAAGATACAGCCTACAACAAAAACATACAACATAACAAAAAATATCACAATAAGAATTTAGCTTTAAATGGAAAATGTTAGAGGATTGAGAAAATACGTACTATGTATGGTCGCCATTTCATTGAACAGTATTAGTGTTGTGTCTATACCTGAAGGCAATTCTCAGTACTTATGAGTACCAGTAGAGGGAACCAATGAACCAATGTTGGTACCAGTACTTTAGTACCAAAAGAGTACAGTCTAATGATTGTGGATATTTATAGGCAAGCACTGTGGATGCGATACTCCCTGGTGTGGATTAACATCCGCGCTAGTGAGTACTACAGGGGACTATCCCCAGTACTATCCTGATAATTATACCAATTTGTTGATTACAAGGAGAAAATGTGGTTCAAATTCCACTATAAACTGTAGGTCCCTTAGTTGCCATTGGCTGTATGGACTATTAATTAACAGCTGTGTCTAAGGAATATGTCGAACTTAGTCACTACCAAGAGTACAAGATCACGCCACTCATCCTACTCATATTTAGGGTTAAAATACGCACATAGAGGCATCCCATCTTAATAATTGATCATTGATTGGAGTGTCCAATCGAAATCGATCACCACTTACCATCTTATCCCTATTCATTCTATTTACCTACCGTGTTGTGAGTAAACAGTAAAGGCCTAAGTGTAAATATATTTATTACAAGTATTATTTGACATATATTTGTACATTCAGGCAATTAAAAAAAAGCATGATGTTTGTGAACAACCTACCAGATGACTCTTGGGCGAGAAGTCGACATTCCTCAAATACTTTGGAGAGAGCCCTCTCAGCTTCCCCTGGCAAAGGCGAGTTCAGTTCTGGACCCACCACAGTCTTTATAGCCATCCCACAATCTCTGGCCACCTTTCGGACCATAGCAGTCTTGCCACAGCCCGACGGACCAACAATCAATACCTGGAAAACAGTGTCGGTATATATAATCGTAGATAACCACTCTTCCCATGTCTTTTAAACATATATATATGATGTTCAAAAAGTAAAAAAGATTTCAACTCAAAAGTTTCCAATGAGACACTGCCTGAAATTATAGACCTTCCATTGTTATTTATATCACAGCGAGTATCAACCTAGGCACAGAGAAATATGGTTCAAACAGAGCTATCTTAAGGCCTCAATAACTATTGATTCAAATGGGATCACTCCCACCAATTTCTTTTCTTAACTCCTTACAGCAAAAACTAGAGTTTTACAGGCTAAACCTTGAACTGAAGAGGAACTGTAGAGCCATAATACCTAAAACAATTTATTGAGCACACACAGTCAATTTATTAGATGCAGCAATGGTAATTTAGGTAAACGTAAATCTAACTTTTGCACTTCCGTTTACCAAATTAGAACAAAATTACCCTCAGTAGCCCTGCATAAGGGTTCAGTTCTGCAGAGACCCTACAGTAGGCCTACATTATTGAATGAAATATTGTATTTTCATATGATTAGGGCTACTGATTTGAATTGAATATAAACATTCTATAGGGTCTTCTTAAGAAGATTCTTTTTATCTGTGCTGTGGTGGTTAAAGGTTAATTTAACTATGATAACAAAAAAGTGAATTTATAAAAACAAAAGTTACTTAATGGTCATATAAGCTAAGTAGCCTACCTACTTACTTTTAGCATAGACAAATGGAATAAATATAGACTGTCAAAGGAAGCTTCCGGCGCCCACCTAGGAGTGCCGTGTAGGTACGGCGCACACCACTGCAGGCAAGGAGCGCAGGAGCCGTATGCTACCAGCAGACGCTGCAGCTGTGTGTGCCGTAACTACATGACACTCCTAGTGGTGGGCGCCGGAACATATGCTAACCGCAGCACTGCTGTCGGTCTATTCAATCTATTTGTCTATGATTTTAGTCTTCAATAATACCGTATGGCTTTTTCTTACCTGTTTGTAAACTGAATGATGCTGCACATTGCTTTTTGAGGCTGACTTAACTAAATTAGTTAATGTTTGTAAATGATGGTCAAGCCCTCCAAGAAAAGGTAATTCATCACCACAAGTAAACAGTTGATAAAATGTTGTATTGCTCATTAACTGTTTAATTTTTACCTTTGAATTGCTGACTATTCGTCCAAAATTCACATTTCCAATACTTTCTATCAAAATGTATTCTATTTCTGTATCAAAAACAGATTTAACACAATCTAAAGTCAGTAGTGCTCCCCTTTTTAACACAAATAGCTTCAAGAGATTTTTCACTAAATCACATAATTTAGCACATGATGGTTTCCACTTCTTAACATCTGAAGGAGTGTTGAAAACAACTGATACATGCACTGTTTTTATATTTTCCACTGAATCTAAAATATTAATATCTGGTATTTGTACAGTACTTGTACCTATAGGACTCGGCTTTTTTAGAGGATACAAACTGGTGTTATTAGATTCATTATAAAAACTAACACTTTTATTGATAGTACAATACGATGAATGAAGCATTTTTTTGGGAAATATTTGACATAAATAATTAATGTCATTTGAATCTTTTATGACCGCAAACTTTCCTTTGCTGGATTGTAGTACAGAGTGATCATTTATGCAGAATTTTTGTAAATTAAAAAGAGTACTTTTCTCTGGTAAAACGGTCATCATATTTTCCATTGCAGTTAAGTATAAATGACCTGGAACACACACGCACAAACATAGTTTTTAGAAATAGGCCTACGTTACATTAAATTTAATTATAACTTAAGTTAAGTTAAGAGAGCATAATAGACTAAGTAGACTCTATATAGCATTTGCTCTTAAAATATTTACCAAAATTACTTTTCACTAATTAAACTAGAATATGAATACGGCTGTTTAATAGTTCTTAAGAGGGTTTTAACACGAACAATTATAAATAAGTAGTTAAGTTACAAGATGAAAAGGTGGTGAATAGATATACCATAGTAACTAAAAGGGTAGCTTAATGTCTTTTGTAGGTTTAAGATCTAAAAATTAGGCTGCCTTAAAAAAATTGGACCCGGAGACGTGCATACATTCACATCCCAAAACATATAAGTTGGCCTAGCCTATAGGCTAATTCAAACCATGGCTTTAAAATTACAGAAAATGATTTTTGTTGGTGTTTATACTTACTTAAGTTAGTGGCATTTTAAACGAAACAATCACAAACACTTAAGGGAAGGTGAGGGTCTTTTTCAGAAAAGGGCCGCCACTATTTAAACTGTGGAAAACCCACATTTTAGGTTAGTTTATAGCTTTACTCTCACGTTTTTTTACTGAACAGAGATCATCACAAAAACTCAAAACTTAACTGAACTGAATTTAGTTAATAACATTTATGCACAAGTTATTACGTTTGCTAACATTATTTCCTACTTAATTATTTTATTTGTTATCAAACTACAACTATCAAAACAAGAGTGAGATAGTCTAGATTATCTGATCTGGCAACCTCAACTTGCAAAATGTAAACAAAATTAGTCAAATTTAAAAGTTTTTCTAATGACCAGAAAAAGGCGAAATTCCTACCAAAATAGGCCTAGCGTTGAAGAGCATGCAAATTGTAACAGAAATACAAACCTTTATAGTCGTTAATTAAAATATTTATATTATAACCTGGTATGTTTAGTTATCTAAGTCATTTCTAAAACCCATAAGGATAGGCTAACCTAAAAATAAAATCTTAACAACCCATCTTAAAATCTTGAGCAATCACTATTTTAATCAGTTCATGGGATGGAAATAGGATTGCGTTGCGTTGCGATTGACAATAATATTTACGTATTTACGATCCAACACCAACATTGACACTTGCACTTGACAGTGGAGTGGAGTGGGAAGAAGAAGAAGCAAAGAAATGTGCTACACTTTTACAGGTAATGCTACCTATGAGCAAAGCTACGGACTACCTACTCAACTTCAAGATCAAGAATAAGAATCCTCAGTTTCGTAGGATGAATGGCCGGAACTCGTGGCGTAGTTCTGTAATCCAGCTACTTGGAGGCCGGATGTTTGGATCCTAACATGCCCCGGGGCTGATTTCTCGCCTCTTAAATTACCCACTTACGTCCGCCCCACTGGGCCCGCCAAGCCTGGAGGGTAGGGGAGCTAAAGACACGTAATGGTGTCCTAGGGGATAATCGGCTACACGGCCACAACCGATAGTCCCGCTGTGCCTCAGTATTCGCTCTGGCACCGGTCTAACGACTGATACGGTGACCCGTCGCAGACGTGGGTGGGTTAACAGAGTGAGAATAGGTCTAGGCGCTGTTGGGAGACTCTCATCCACATTTTACAACAAATAAAACTCCTCAGACTTTTTAAAACATATTTTATAAGTAATTTGCAAATTACTGCATACAGTAGTGAGAATGTTAAACAACGATCCATTTCAGAATGTATTCATAGTTTTAATAAATTAAATCTTTAACTATTACTGAAAGTAGACATTTTATATAATTCAAAATCGGATAATAAATCCTTCTCTCAACCATATTTTTCTTGTCATTTGATATTTTGTATCAACAATGCAGACCTCAATATTGGAAGTCAAACAATACACATATTATTCAATGGGGAAAAGGCTTAGTAAAAAAACATGCAACAACATTTATTTGTAAAATGTAGTTGCTTTATAGTAACCATTACACTGTAAGTTAAGAATTCAGACTGTAGACTATGTCACTTAGTGTGAGAGGTAGTATAATGATATGCACCATCAAGACCATGAAAAACTGCAGAAACTGGTGACTAATGCATAAGTACTCAACAGTAAGATATATTTTTATTGCTTCAAGATTTCTTTTATGAAAAATATAATTTTTATGAATAATACTATTTTCATGAAAAATATTTCTCTTTTAAAATGGAAAAGAAGATTCTGTGATCATCATTTCCAGTCACACAGGCATTTAAATTTTTATTAAATCCGCTTAAAATAAATTGTTGGTCGTTGAATCAAAATGTTAATCATGGGTCGTAATTTCCGAATTGGATCGTTCATTTTAAGGCAACAGCATTACCTGTAGAAATCTGAATTACATAGAAATTGCAATCAGCCTACTACAAATTTAAATAATTAACCTTTAGAGGTGACTGAGTTTACATTTGCCCACCTCTTCAAGTCTAAGGAACTGGCTTTATCTTGTTTGTTCACTAAAATTCTCCTGCATAACCTCTCATACTCAGTTGAAATGTTTAAGGGCTGTGCAACATGGATGCTGCTACCGTGTTTTACCTCCCGCAGTGCTAATTTCCTAGAGTTCAGTTCTATGTGTCATTTCTCGTGTTTTGTTTTCTGTTAATGTTCGCTACTTTTATGATCTTTGTTTGAGGCATTTTTTTCTTAAAATGAATAATGAATGAATGAATAATTGTATGTATACATTTGTCATTTACACTGTTACTGTATGATTTTTGTTAATGATTCCATTGCATATACCTGTGAGCCATATATCTCTTGTGTTTTTAAATCAAAATCACTAGTCGAGTCTGAAAAAGACACAGCATTGCGTTTCTTTCTACTATAGCACTTAAAGCATCGTATATATGTTGAAGAAAATGCAACTAGTCTCTAACATCCAGTTCACAAAACTTCAATTCAACAAGCAATGTTCTATTTGAGGTAAACCAATCTTCTGTGATTTCTCGCCCTTAATACATTTTTTTAGAAGATTTAACCAAGAACATTTCCCAAAAGGCTTTTACTGTATAGTTTTATCTCCATTTTCTGATGGAAATCACTCATGAGGGGAATGTAGAGGAGGGAAGGGGAGGAGCTATAGTTAAGATACATTGTTGATTCCTCACCATGAAGTTCACAAGGCTCACCTCAATGACCAGTTTATTTACATAAAAAAATGTTAAATGAAACTAGTGTAGCATAGGAAAAACCAGTATATTTCACTTGAAAACCACATTGATGTCTTTACTCTCTAACAAAACAATATTAGGCTATACACAAAAGTTACATTGAGAAATCACAAAACACTCATAATCAGACTTCACTGGTTCATAGGTTGGCCCATAGGAGGTGCTGGTCTCATGATGCCTCTAGACTGCAGCTGTTTGTTCTTGATACGTTCTAGCTCGTTTACTCGGCTGCGTAAATGTTCCAAACGATGCCAGGCCATCTGAAGCACCTTCTGAGAAGCATAACCTGACCCTTCATGTGGTTGGCCTGAAAGTTCAAGAGATATCAGAATTTTGATAATAGGCCTAGTTTGTATCTATATTTTGTGGTAGCTTAGTTTGGAAAAGAGCCAGTTCACCTTGCAGGGTGTCCACAGAAATTTTGTCATTAATTTCCCTGACTTTCCATGACTATCCCTGACCATAAACCATTGATTTCCATGACTCACGAACATTACTCGAAAATTATAATATACTGCAAACACACAAATAATACTGCCTAGACAGAAAATATTGAAATACGTATTAACAGATAACAATGGCGTACAACAGGTACAACAATGAACTAAATACAAACTCAAAACTCATAAACTAAGACAACTGTATAAATTGAACTGTCGTATATTTGTGAAAAATTCTGAAAAATGCTACAATAGTTGGGGTTACGGCTGACTAGATCATTGAAAGGACCCCTGAAATCCATCCATCATTGGTGATTTCCATGACTTTCCATGACTTTTTGCCTATTTCTATGACTTTCAATGACCAGAATTTTTTTCCATGACTTCCCATGACTATCCCTGACTTTCCAGAATGTGGACACCCTGCCTTGGAAATAAAGATAGCTTACATAAAATTAGTACCAAGAAGTGAATCGCATTTCTCTGCTACATCCCATTTCCAGCCGTCCTACTTAACCGATTTTTACGAATGAGGTGTCATTTTAAGCTTAGGATCCGGGGGAGTGACAAATGTGACTAAAAAGATAATATCTTTCAGGACTTCACCCCCTAGTGTTAGATTTATTTCTATAGTTTGCTTTCAACAAACAGTGATGCTGACCAAATTTCTTTATAAGGTTTAAATGTTATAGCCAATACCAAGAACAGGCTAGCGTGACGCTGCATCATAGTGAATACCATTCGTGCGCCATCGCAAGCCGTGGCGACACTAATGAAAATATACTAAACAATACTTTTAAATCAGCTGGTATAAATTTCCACTGTGGAAACATATTTATCAGCTTATATACTTTAGTTTGACAAATATTACAGAAATAACCACTAAGCAAAGCTTGATAGTACATATTAACAAAACATATTAATAAAACTTTTATTAATCAATAAGCAAAATAACAAGTGTAAGTCTTAACCCTTACCGCGCACAACAGATATGTTGGGTGGCTTTGACCGTAACCCTCTTCAGTATCCAATAGTCAGTGACGTAACACTACGTACCGGGACATAAAAAATTATTTCCCAAAAGTCAAATCTAGGCTAATTACTTTAAAAAAAATCATAATCATATAACAACAATAAAACCAATATAATAACGAACGGAATGGAGAATGAAGTTTCCCATTGAGTCTGCTAGTTAAAACTTGCGAGTTAGTCCGTTCACAACGCTGGCGCCTCTCATTGCAGAGATTGGCAAGTGTAGCGTGCTGCTAATTTGAACAATCGGAGGGGGGGGGGAATGTTGTTATTGTGATTTACCATCATGAGAGATGTTCCCCAATAGCTCCTGCACTCTATCGGCAAAACTGGGAACAACCAAGACCAGCCAATGCACTCTGTATTTAAAGGTGAGTATAGTCTTTCATAGCGTTTTGAGCAAAGGAAATTTCAGCGAGTATATTCTTCTATAGCTAAGAAACAAGTTTTGAAACCTAATAAAATATGCAATTGGCGCACGGGTTCCCTCAAGTTTATTATTTGGAACCACAAATATAAAAATTGAAGCGGTAAGGACCATAAACATAAAAAAATGGCGTCACTGCTGAAAGTAAACATTATTTAACATTACTTTAATGTGTGTCCAAACCATGTAATATTATTAGTATAGGATTCGGGCCAGTTGCGTCATTTGTTTATGTTTATGATCCATAAAATCTCTGTTCTAATATTTGTGTTTTGGTATTTGCAACTGTGAATCAATATTTTAAGTGCAAACACTATATTTTCGACAAACATTTAATAAGCAACTATTTTGACACAAAAGATTTTATGAACAGCATTGAAAGTTTGTTGAAACTGGTTGTGTGTAAGTAAACCTCCTCAAATTTCTAAAACCAAATCCTACTGGATTAACATTAATTTACCTGTTGATACTTGAGTGAGATAGTTAATCTGCTCTGTAAGTTTTGATTCCACATGGTGTAGGGTTTTGAGGAACTGATTGGAGTGGCTTTCTGCTTGTTTTAGGCTTGATTTGTCTTTACTAAGTTCCATAAGAGCATGTCCTGAAAAAAATTACATTAGTTTATTTGATTTCTAGTATTGCAATGTTTACAATTAAAAACAACAACGTGTCTGATTGTAGGCTGCCAGTTATCGATTGGTATTTTCTTAAATTATTTTGCACACTAAAATAAAATAGGGTGAAGTGGGGTAAGTGTGACATAAAAATCATAAAGTTCATCTTTACAATTTTTTTTCTCGGTTATTTCTAAAGCTAGAAACTTGAAATTTTTAACACTTAAAACTTTAGAAATATCTTTATTGGTAAAAAAAACCAAAGTGATAAACTTATGCTTTCACTATTTTTTTTACTTACAAAAAATGCCTGCCAGCTGTCACACTTGCTCCATGGGGTCGGGGCAAGTGTGATAGCGGCCTCTATAAAATCCTGTAACTCTTTTAATGGTAAATGGGGCAATTGTGATAAATACCCAGTTAGTGCTCTTTCAGGAACATTTTGATTTAAGTCCCTATCATTCTTACTTTTTGAGATATTTACAAATGAAATAAAGACGTACAAATCTGCGGATATTTGTAAAAACTTGCATCAGATCACACTTGCCCCGGGTGTCGGTGTCACACTTGCCCCAGCCATTGAAAATTTCCGGGGTAAGTGTGACATGTGGTTTTAAATTTAATGATAAATTTGTACACGTTTTAAATATTTTGTCTAAAAGTGTAGCTTTTAGGCTCTTTAAAAATCTGAGTTTGATATAAATTGGTCAAAATTTAAAATAACTACAATTAAACAAAATTTCCGAACAAACTTTGATTTTGACCTAAAATGTCGGACTTAATTGATAAAAACTATGTAACTAGATACCTTATATGTCAAACATTATTTCAATGACAAAACCAAATTTTTTCAGCGATTCCCAAAAACAAGATGGCCGGCTATCACACTTACCCCGCTGTCACACTTACCCTACTCCACCCTACCCCCACCGCAGCAATCCTGCCGACTAAGCGAATTTCCATTTGTCGGAAATGATTTTCAAAATCATCGATAATAATGAATGTTCCCCTTAACAGGAAAGTACCCATGTGAATAACTTACATAGCCTAGGTCTTACAACAGTCTTTCACCAATAAATAGAAACCAGTCCTCAGCAAAGGTTTGAATACAAAATGATAGCTCAGTAACTTTACTGGGTTTTTAACTAACTTAACTGAGCTACGCTTAGAACAACATGTTTTGAAATACGGTAATTAAATAATAATTACGGTACACCATGGCTCATGTCACTATGCAGGGAGGTCAGTATACGTGACAGTCCTGGAGACCCCATCAGCGTTATCACGCCCCTCCTCCCTTGTTAGTCCTGTTACCTAAGACTAACTAACAAACTGGATATCCACGTTATCTTCAGTGCCATATATGGTATTCTAATGGCTTTTTCTCCATATCTTAATAGAGGGAATTCTCTACAACTAACCTAACCCAACTACATGATAAAACTGCAGTAAGCTATTAAGCATGTAATGTAGGCCTATGCATTAGGCTACCGGTAAGGCTATTTTGTTGTAGGAAGTTTGAGCTGAGTTCTGGGTCCTAAATAAGTACCAATTGAACTCAATGATACCAACAGTCCAATCGTTATTAATTTGCAGATTCAGACATAGGCTATTTCTAAGTTTTGTCAGAATTTTAACACGTTCACTGCGGGCGTATCCGATCGGATACGGGCTGAGCACTGTCCAGGTGCTGCCGTAACCGATCGGATACGCTCGGCAATGCCTTTCGTATATCGTTGTTTTTGCTCTAACGTCGGTCGAAGGCGGACCTATACCACATTAGCGTGTAGTGGGTGACTTGCTTTTTTATTGTGTTGTAGGTTGGTAGTAAAATTTCCCCATAAAATCCCTGTCCGGCAAACTTAAAAATCAACTTGTTGTCCCGTCATTCTCCCTCCAATTGGCAATACAATGGGACCGGCTACGTTCCAAGCAGTGCTGCTATCTGTGAGTGTTTAGTGAACTACGTTGACTCTTGTTATAAAGCAGGACATCACCGCACGTTATTTGCTATTCGTCCTACCGAAATATATGAGAGCCAATCACCCGGCAATCGGGTTTGTTCAACTCTGCGGGCTGCACCGCACTGGGACTACGCCTGCCATTTGATGGCCCGCAGCAAAAGTGTTAAAGAGCTGTTTTAAGTGCAAATTTAGGCCTAGTCGCCATTCCTAATTCCTAGGGTTCATCCAAATTGGAATTGGTGTAAGTAAGTTATACATTATAACACTGAAAAATCCTACTAACCTGCACTTTGTAAACACAAAATTATGTCCTTTTCTATGGCATCAAGTGTTTGTATTCTCTCCATGGGAGCAGTCATTGTTATTATGCCAATGTCTATTTCAATTTGTCGACACAATTAAAATAATGTATAAGAATACAGTTGGCTCCTATTTCCAACATAACACAAATCACACGGCTATGGATGGGGTGTAACTTTGAATGTTGACTACTTAACTTTAACAAAACTTTTAACTAAAAACTTAGGCTTGTTTCACTTGTTTGTACAGCTAAGTTACAATGCTACAAATTCTCTACAATACAAAATAAAATACAAATACAATTGACAGACTGACTGAACTGACTGACAGCGACAGCGGTGAAGGTGACAGCATTACAAGTAAAGAAGAGAAGAAGAAGTGAAGTTACTGACACACTGACACTATACACACTACTGACAAGACAACAGGAACAGGAGACAAGAACGGGACGGGACCGACCACGACCACGGCCATCACGGTCACCTTTAATCCCATGCCGTGGCGTGGTTCCTTTTATACTCTGCGGCAGCCGCTGCGTTCGATTGCGGGCACCGAATGTTTGTGTGGTGGCCATGGCATCGGTGGGTTTATCAGGGCTACCAACTTAGGAGTTTTTATTCACCTTACCACTAGTAATGATTGTGCCCCTTCGACATCCCTGAGCTCGTAGTCCTCTGATGAACAATCCCACTAACTTGGTCTAGATTTTATTTCGTCGATGAACTGTTCAATGTTGTCTTAAGTCGTAGTGGGTTCTGTCATTTTGCATTAACTAAATGTGCAAACTGATGCTCAGAAAAGGAAAACAAAACCACCTACCACACCGACAACAGAAAGTGAAATTAGGGAGGCAAGGCAGTGCCATGTTGCGCTGAGTTTCTTTTGATAAATTGGCAGCACTTGACAGCGCCGCTGCGGCACGCCGCAAAGTAAAAAAGCTCCCATATAGCCTAACACAATGCCACGGCCGCCTTTAACTCCAGGCCGCGGCCTTCGAAGTGGCAACGTCGCAAGTGGTATTGTAACAGCTGTTTTTTTGGAAGCAGCTAATGGTATTTGTGTATTTACGATGAAAGATTGGTTACTGGACTATGACAATATTGACTCCGTTTAAAATGTACAGATATATATTAACTCATATTGTTTCGGTTTTCAATTCTGTATGTTTTATTTTCAATATTTTAATAAATTTATGTTCATAAATTTAAATTTAAATCAATAAAGTGTGAATTAATGAGCTGATGTCACCTGTCTGCGATTTAATCTTATGGGACGTCTGTCACTAAACAACACCACTTGCGACGTTGCCAATTCTACCAGGTCGTGGCCTGTAGTTAAAGGTGGCCGTGGCAATGCACCTAGAGGCCGCACGTTTCCACGGCTCCTAGGTGCGCCGTCGTGCGTCTAGCCAGCCGCAGAGGATAAAAGCACCCATTTAACTCAATGCACTTACAGGGCTGGAGAACGCAGCGGCGTGCGGCGTGCCGAAGTGTATAAAAGAGGCCTTAGTGACAACACTGTCTGTAGTGCTGTTACAGCTGTTTTGTTTGGAAGGCAGCTAATGTGTATTTGTGTATTTTTTAAGTATACAAAATCTTGGTTACTGGGCTATGAAAGTATTGTCTTTATCTTAAATGCAAAGAAATAAATTTTCGATTTATATTGTTTTAGTTTAGTACCAGCGACCACATAAGACCAATACTAGTAGATGGAGCCTCCTATCTAGCGTTTTCAATTCTGTATGTTTAATTTTCAATATTTGAATATATTTACGTTCATAAATTTAAATAAAAAAGTGCGAAATAATGAGCTGATGTCACCTGTCTGCCATGTTATATTATGGGACGTCTGACACTAAACAACCCTACTTGTGACGTTGCCAATTCTACCAGGCCGCGGCCTGGAGTTAAAGGTGGCTGGCCTGCGGGAGACTTGTTTCTTTTTTAGCCAAAGAGTATAGTCGGTTAAATGCGACTATTTCAGTATCGGCAAGATGCGATGTCTGTTGTTTGTGTCGTCGGTAAAATGGGAATATTTCAGGGTTATTGATTTTGATCCACATTTCCCTTATAAAAATCTAAAACGTTTTTAAACTGTTCTTTGGCATCAACACCACTAATAAATTAAAGCACAGTACTCACTGTACTTAGATTGAGGGTTATTAAAGCCCGCCTTCAGGAAGAAAATTGCAAAAATACAAGGCAAAAGGCAACAATGTTTAGTGAACAGCGAGAACGAGTGAACTGTAATCAACAATCAACTATTAATTTTTTTTAGAAACTGATTTATTCTCATCTGACCGAAACTGAAATATGTACAGTGATTAAATAATACATGATAATACCATACTGTAGATAAAACGGACAATATTTTATTTATGATAATACTCTAGCATCGGGAAATATCTTTCACGTATATGACACCATTCTTAAAACTACTTTGATAGGTCTAGGATGGCAACCCTGCTGTAGACTTCAGAGCAGACACTGACAATCACACGTCACAACAAACGTTTTCAAAAAATAACAATGAAATTGAAACATAACCTAACATCAAAAACGGATATCTAACGCAGGATTGACTTGTAAAAACGTGATAAAAAGTCGATTGTTTGTTACAGATTGATTAATACTGCGATCTAGTTAGGTAAAATAATGTAAGTAAACTTAGGTCTGAATTAATTTCTAGCATAAATTATTCCTAGGCTTTACCTAATAAGTTTTCCATTTGGCCATCTAGTTATCCACCACATAAACATACTGGGTTCTAGGACATTATGTTTGACTTTTATATTACTTTAAGTACTATAATGGTAATGGACACAGGTATTAAGTTATGTTTCGACATACTTATGTTAAACTGAGCTTTTGTATATTTGGGTACACTTCCATATCTGTTGGCACAAACAACCGAATGAAAATATCGATCGATATATCGATTATTCGATATATCGTTTGGTTAGTTCCATAGGTAAGGTTAACCTAACCTAACTAACCAAACGATATATCAAATTGAACAATCGAATACTTTTTATTACTCATTCGGGTGTTTGTGCCAACAGATATGGAAGAGTACCCGTATATTTTTTATTTAATTTTTAAAGATTTAAAGTTAATTTAGGCATAGGTTAAGATTTTGTTTACTGGCTAATTTAATACAAGACATGTGCACAATGCACATTTAATTTATTGACCACCATTTGATTTTTTGATTTACCATCAATGATCCATCATTGATTGTAAGTTAGTTTACTGACGTTTTTGTTAGATCAATGTTTTTGTCGAACATTCATGTTTTTGCCAAGTATTGATTTAATCTCAAGGTTTTCCATGGCTGAATTTGTATTATTTTTGGGTTGGAGTACAGAGAGAAGGTGTAAAACTAAATACCCCGCCGCAGCAAATGTGAGGACTAAGCAAATTTCAACTTATCTGATTACATCTTTACTAAAATATTTCCATAAATACTGCAAGACATATTTATATTTCCAATTTAAATAACATAAGATTTAACAAGTGCTTAAGTAGATTTGCTGCCACGGGGAAGGTAGCAATACTGGTGGCGCTGCCTATGAATTGACAGGCAAAGCTCTCTCAAAGTACTTAACGCTTTTTACCATGCGGTTGGCATTCTGGGTTAGGCCTATAGTAGGTGTATGTTTTCTGTGCCACGGTTGAGGAAAGCAATATGGCCAGGCCAATATGGTAGCGTGACCAAATGACGGATCTGTAGGCCTACTCCAGGATGGGTTGAACTAGATTTAGGAAAGTATTTATAATAAAAATTTTGGTAGATCTTATTCATCTTGGATATAAATCAGCTGATCAAATAACTTAAGTCAACATTTTGAGTTAAAATTAAATGATGAAATGAATTTTTTCAAGAAACTCCTGAAATGTGAATAAGTTAAATAATATTTTCCCGGTGTAGAGGAAGATGCCAGCTTTAATATGACACCTCATTTATGAAAAATTATGAAGAAATAAGGAAGTTATGGCCTACTGACAAAAGGAGAAGGAAAGCTTTAAAATGACACCTTATTTATGTAAATTGGTGAATAATTAAGAAAGTAATGGCCTATTGACAAAATACTCCCGCCGCAGCAAACCTGCAGACTAAGCGATATTCCATTTACCTGGCTGGATTTCTACTAAAATATTTGTTAAAAATTGTCAGATTTATTTCCTATTTAAAAAAAACATTAGGCCTAATTTAAATGAGTTCCTTGGTTTGTTGCTACAGGGAAGGTGTGATTTTTATTGAAATGTTGAAAGCTTAGTATGAAATTAGCAAAATTGCCAAATTTGGTTTAAATATGTCCATAAACAAGCAAACTACAACAGTTTATTTACAAAATGGCTCTAAAAAATGGTCTGTTAAGAAATTATAAATTAAATAATTTTAGAGGGGGAAATGGGAAAAACCAATTTTCACCCCATAAAACCCCCCATAAACCCCCGTTCCCATAGTCCGATCATGCTGGTTCGCAAACTCGTTCAAATAAACGTAGGTTTACTTGTTTGTGCCTTGGAAATTTAATCAAAATCAGATCATTTTTGCTCAAGTTATCATGCTAACGCACACACACACATGTATATATATGAACTTGAACGGAGGGTGTTTTTGTCCTCTGGGGACCTCAAAATGAAAAAGTAAATCGGTCTCGGGTCCAGGTCTTAACATGAGACCCACAGTAATGGTAATAGCTTATTCCCTATATGGGAAATTCGCTAAAAACACTAGAAATTATAATATATCATATAAATAAATTTAAAAGAATTTTTTTAAGTTCCTTTTGAATTTTAGGTGGTCTGACTCTTCCTATAGATGCTGGTCTAGTGGTTAGAGCGCGGGATTTCGGTCCCTTAGATCCTTGTTCAAATCCTTCCTAAGCCACCAATGGCTTTTATCTAAGTGATAATGCCGCAACCCCTAGGTCTAGCCTGAAGTATTGTGAAAAACAATTCCATGTTGTTGTATTGTTGAGGACTGTTCGATTCCTACTTGGATACTTGAAGTTTGAAAGAATCCCATTGAAATCACATCTGCCACGTGGTTATAAGTTTCTCTCCTTCATTGGAGAGTGTATGGTCTTAAAATACTTGTTAGCTCTTCAATGGCTGCTTATAAATAGATGTTTCAAACAGGTTTCATTTTTAACTTGTTACTAATATTGTTCTTTTGTTTTGTAGTCCAGCACAGTTCTGTGAAATAAGAAGAATATATATTTAGAATGTTTGTTTCAACATGGGATGAATTCGAGAAAACAGCACAAAATATTTACCTTCAAGATCCTCTTAGGGTAAGTTCTTAAAATTTTTTACATCAAGGATGAGAGTTAGGTGGCGTATTTAGACAAAGATAGAGCTATAATAGGCTTTTTCAGGTCTAGATATTATGGGTTATTCATTTAGTTTTAACTACCGGTACATCGATTCAGTTAATAAGGTAAACCTACTTATATGCTTGTACCATTTTCCAATTATATTTACAATGTAATAGTCAAATTAGTTTGAAAAAATCCAACTTAACTCCTTGTTCCTTGTCACTTGACCGTGAATATCAAGATGAGTGCAATATGCCTCTTGAAAACACCATAACACATTTTGTTGCAATAACCTCTATAAAATGACTAATTATTAAAACAATTTCAATAACACCCCTTTTCCTGAATCACGATGTAACCCAGAACCTTCATAACAAGTAGTTTTGAGACATCAACCTATCTAAAACCAGACAAGGCCACAACTGACTCTTTGACACATCTAAACATTAAGCTTCCGTTCGTCTTCCTGCCAACCACGTGTTGATAATGATGTATCAGGGTAACTTATTTTTACTTTTAAAATAAAAATTAAATTTTGTGGTGTAGGTTGCTGAAAACACGGTAAACAATATAAATTAGTGAAAAATCACAAAATCCCTTCTCAGAGGGCTTAGTGGTTTATCAGCCTCAAGAAGTAATAAATTATAATTTGAGATCTGACATTTTCTACAAGGTCTGACTCTAATGTTACAATGTTTACAGGCAAGGTACTCTCTCAAGTACAACCATTCCCGGAGTTCACTCTCTGTGAAAATGACAGACGATGTTACAGTGAGTATTTGCCATTAAATTTAATTTGGTTTTCCCTGAAAAAGCCAATTGTCATAAAACAATGTAAATTTCAACTGTAGATTTTGTAAGTTTCAAATATATCCATTTGTTCCATTCTCATGTTAAATGTGTAGCATTCACTTTTAGATAGTGAAATTAACTTGTATGTCCCCTCAATACTATAGTAACCAATAAAATGAAGGAGAAAATAGAGTTGTAGACTGTGAGTTTAGTTCAACTATTATATTATATTAGTTCAACTATGTTTTTTGGGATAAAATACTGGCTATAGCTGGTCCAATGGAGACAGGATAGGTCACCTCCATTATTCAAAAATAAATGCCTCCCTTTTGAGAAAAAAAAAAAAAAAAAAAAAACGATTACTGTATATTGTTATATGTTTCAGATTTATCTCAAACACATTTTCTTTGTGTTGCTTATAGCAGCAAACCTAATCAGTTGTTGAGCCAATGCCAATGCTATTGTGCTCAAAATGAATCCAATTGTAGAATTTCTCTAATGAACCTGTTGAGCTAAAACTGAGAAAATAAACTATTAAGTGGTTAAGGTTGCAGTGTTGTGACAGGGATGTTTTATATTTGAAAACAAAGATTTTGTAAATTCCCGTGTTTTACATTTGTGTTAACATTATTTGTATGTTACAGTGTGTTCAATACAAGACAGAAGTCGCTCAAGATGTGCGAAAAATAGAAAAGTTTATCAACAACCTAATGAGGCATATGACGTCTAAAAATGCAACATGATCCTGATCAATTCCATAAGTTATATCAATAATTTTAAGTAAATAGTTTTTTAACTGCAAACTGTGTTGTTCTTTTAGCAGTAAAGACACCTTTTTAACTGTTTAGGACTTCAGTCAAGACAGTGATTCACCAAAAGGATTGTATGTATCCTTTGTTATCTTATGCATATGTACCTTTCTGGTGTACCTACATAATTTTTTAGAATATTCTTTTACTGAAAACTAAAAAGATACAAGAACTATGTCTCTCTGTGGGAAGATATCAAATCTAGATGGTTGAATTTTTCATTCCTAGAGCATTAAGAACCTCACCGGTACCTATCATTAAACACTTTATTTTATATGGCTTTATTTCTTGATAATTTGTCTGTTAAAGTCAACCAACCCTGTTCTCCATTAAGAATACAATATAACTTTCAGGGCCTGTGAGGCAAGGTCCGAGGACTCAGATGTAGATACATAAACAGGTGGAGAGGGAGTTTACATGAAAAAAACCACCTCATTTGACTCATCGTTTGTAAAATTCTATCCATGATTTACAATGGAGTTGTGTTTCGTATAAATCACTTTCACATATTAAATATTTAGATACATGTTGGACGTTGGGCAAAAGGTAACAAAAAAAGGAATACTTTTCTCAGTCTCAATATTTATTCACATTGATAAAGGTACTTTTCATAACACAAAGTAGTTTCTCTAACAATGAAGAATGACAATGAAATAATAAATACATGAATGATCAGTTATGAGCAAATCATTTTATTTCTGTTGGCTTGTATCAACAGAATTATTTTGCGTTGATATAATTTTAAGCCTCATGAGTAATTATTATAAAAATAACCTATTTCTTGAGCACACGAACTAGAGGATTTGGATTGAATGCGTATACAGGAGATGAGATGGGTTCTACATCTCTGTATTTTAAGTTGGCGACAAAACCTTCAGGAGCTTTTTCCGGGGGTGGTTGTGCTACTTCTATCTCATGGGATTTCTGGATTTCTACGTAGTGGAACGGTGTGGACTGTTGTACTTTGGCTGGCCTGTTGAACTGAGATGGATTCTGGCCGGACTTTTGGTTGAACTCGACTTGGGTGTATTTATTAGGCTGCTTGTTGAACTGTGCCGGTTTGCGATTGAACTGAGATGGCTGTTGGTTGAACTGAGATTGTTGGTTGAACTGAGATGGCTGTTGGTTGAACTGAGATGGCTGTTGGTTGAACTGAGACGGCTGTTGGTTGAACTGAGATGGCTGTTGGTTGAACTGAGATGGCTGTTGGTTGAACTGAGCCGGTTTCTGCTCAAACTGTTCAGGACTGAACTGAAACTGAGCGTGATGAGCCTGAATCTGGGAAAGCTGAGCCTGCTGTTGCTGCAACTTCTCCTGTTGAATCTTCTGACTTTCAAAGTTGTTGAAAGAAAGCTCATTCCCTTGGAACTGTTGTGGAGAAGTTTGCTGCTGTTTCTGCAGTTAACAAAACAGAGTATTATACACTTTAAATACCTGAATGGATAAAGTGCTTGCCTGAAAATCTAAAGTTTGCCAATCCCATCCTGAGAAAAGTGAGAGGGTAGGTAGTTGTTTGTTGGTTGAAACTTGACCCAGCATCCTTGATTCGGCTTTTAATAAATGTTCCTACAGAAACACCTGGTCTTAGTCAGTAACAAAGCTACATAAGTCACCTCCATTATCTTTTACATTTGGATTTATATACGCCTCACTAAAAGGACCCATCTCACAATAGGTAGTGTTACGTTGCATATGGCACTGAGACATACCATCTGTATGGACCAGCTGGGGTCAATGTTTTTATGCAAGTAGATAGATAGAATGAGCCTCTCGCTCTCAGAGAGTCAACCTTACTGCAGAAATTCAATTTTGTCTCTTGACCGTATAGACAGATGATGTAACACATGTTACAATAAAAGATGTTGTGTGAAATGAAAGACACCATACTTTACAATGAGTAGTCCTACCACTATGGCTTGGTTAAATAGTTTGTGTATACAACAGAAATTAGTATTTTTCAGCATCATGGAGACATTTTAAAGGGAGGAAATTAATTTTTGACAGATGCAGTAGCACACGCTTTGTGTGACTCATTCAAGTATTCTTTTGGGGTAAAAAATTGGCTACAGCTGGCTCATGTAGATGGAATGTCTACTCTGGTACACTTGACTGAAGAACACTTGGTGAATTTGACTGAAGACTTTACCTGTTTCTGAGATCGAAGTGGTTTCGTTGTGTATCTGACCATCTGAAGTTTGCCGTCAGGTTGCAGTACGTAGTAGACTCCTCGGTCTACGAGCTGTTCCGATGGCTCTTCAGATCCATCCTAGACAATCATCAGAGTATTAGCATACACTTTGAATACTACAAGTAGACTTTTTATGTTCCACCTCGATATCCTAGGAATCCCCTCTTAGACTAGAGGGCCCCTCGAGTCTGAAACCTCGTGTATTTGACACATAACTACATGCTGCTTAGAGGGTCATTGGCAATAGTTAAACATGAGACTTCAGGGACTAAATACGAATACCCCTGCTCTACCACCAGACCAATTTGCTCCCTAGGAGGACTACGGTACTTTTTAAATTTAAATAACTAGGTTTAATTAGTACTTAGGTTTGCTGCTAAAGGGCACAAACCTTCATAAAAAAGTGGGTTTTTATTGAAATGTTATTAGCTTTAGTATGAAATAAACAAATTTGATTAAAATATGTCTTTAAACAAGCAAACTACAGTTTACTTTATCACCATAAAAGTATAAGATGGGATTTTTTATTAGTTTTCTTTTAAATTTTCTCTGCAACCATTAGGCGCACAGCGCTTTATTTTATTAAATTATTTGGTTTTTAAGCTCTATAAAATAGTTGAGGAAGAAAATGCAATACTTATGTTTTGGGGGTGAAAATGGGAAAAATACATTTTTACCACCTAAAACCCATTTCCCATAGTATGATTATGCTGGATCGCAAACCTGTTGAACTTTAATCAAAGTTGGATAATTTTTACTCCAGTTATAGTGCTAATAGACAAACATTTTCATAATTTTATGTGAATTTGTAAGATAGTGTTATTGGACTCGGAGGACATCAAAATGAAAAAGTAAATCGGCCCCGGGTCTAACTCTTACAGTGCCACCTATAGTAATAGCTATAGCTACTTCCCTATAGGGAAATTTGATAAAATGTGTTAGTTTGAACTATCAAGCTTGTTATCAAGCCAAACAGCTTTCATTGCGCGATATATGTGGCAGTGGCCGGCAAGATGGCGAAATGATCATCAGTCAAATTAACAGCTGTTGGTTATGTCGACAATAATACCGCCACAGCCTTCTTGATTGATCCTGAACCTCAACTCACGACTTGCTCTATGTTGAGCAACTTCATACACTCACTTTTCACTGTGGCGTTTGTTATCCAGTAGGCACTGACGTTCTTTTACTTTTACTTTCATAAAGGCCCATTGATGTCGATGAAATCTTCGTTCTCATTACATTTTGAGGTTAAGGTTTTTCTTTGACGTCTACTTTTATACTTTGGTAATGGTAAGTTTATGTTATCTGGAGGAATAAATGCGGACATTTACCACCACGAAAATTATAAAAAAATTACGATGTTTCTGATTCCGGCAAGAAAACACATAACAATTAAATTAGAACAGCTCGTATTTTCAGCTTTGGCTGGATTTGTGGACTAATTTAGTATCTCTAGAATCCAATGTAAAAGCTGTAATAGTTTGAATCCAAAAACGTGGTGCAATCTGTTGAGATGGTCTAATGACAATGTGGTAAATCAATCACCTGTTGCATGGATTTTAATATTAATATTTAACCTAATATCCTCTGGTGGTGGTCATGAACTTCATCTACAGTATTTTCTTGGCTTCAAGACTTTACATCGCTGTTCAGTCCGGACCCCCCCCCTTCCGGTCTTAAATATAATATTTTTCTGTTAAATTAAATGTAAAATTATACAATCATACTGTATTGACGTTGGGGTTGATTATTTTCAATGCTAAGAGAGCTAAAAAAGGCGGTTTTAGGGCCTATATTTGTCAAATTTTTCCGGGACCCCCATTTTACCCCCGGACCCCCCCCCCGGTCGGCCGACCCCCCCTATTTTGAAATCCTGGCTACGTTACTGTCAGTACCAAGTCTCAGAAAGTCTACTCTGTGTATAGTCAGTGTTATAACTCAACTGTAAGCACAGGTTCATTTCTAGCAATAAATGGATTAAGTGGGTAAAAGCAGATGCTAATATTTGGTCAACAAAATTTAATTTTTTTCAATTGTAAATAACGTTAATCTAAAACGTTTTGAAAAGTCAACGCGCTTTTCAAGCTTAAAAATACTATACTTATTTGTGTTCGAAGAAAAGGCTGTAGCTACAACACTGTTTTTGTTGAGTTATCGGTAACTACATGGCGTAACTCATGGTGGTCATAATTGCAATTTGTCAGTGGTCACGCACCCTGGTGAACGCTTGGCATCATGATGCCGTTTAGGCCTACGCTTGGCATCATGATGCCGACTTTCACGGTTTCATCAGAATCACTTGCTGCAACCGTTACACCACAGTTATCGACAAGTATTCAATCATATGGCGAAGTAAGTGATAACACGTTTATTTGTTTCAATTAATTGATTTCAATTGTATTTCAATTTAGTTAAAATAAAATTGGTAGGCAACGTTCTTCAATAGGTACAATAGGTTATAGGCTCACGAATAGGTCATACTATATTATAGGATACTGTCGGATTTGGGAAAAAGTAGGATTTCGTATTCAACAATATACTACTTGTACAAATCACGAAACTGGTGTACACCCTAACCTTACATCATATGTTTGGTGTATTGTAAATTATTGACTTGTGGAAGACAGATTTTGACAAATTACTATTTAGTATACAAATACAACACATTTGAATGTTTATTCGTTAGTTCATATCAAACTTTTCCAAGTTCATTAGCTTTGACATTTAAATCCCAGTATTGTGTTTTAGAAACAAAGAAGTCCGATTTAGGTAAAACGCGCCTTTGAATATCTAATTAATTAGAACAATAATTATTATTTATTTAGAACAGTTAGATATTTCCCAATTGGAATCGAAGTATAGGTGCATACATTTTGGCATTATGAAGGGTAAAGTGTGTTTTAAAAACAGGAATTGGTATTTATAAAAGTGGCAAGTAATGTTTCTAGTTTTTGGTAATTTTGTTATAGGCCTACAACGTTTTAGTGTAGTTTTGATTTTAATTTTATTGATATAAAATCAAAAACTTTATCGTTAAACACTAAAATAATTAGCACAAGAACGAGACATGTCGTTCTCAACCAAATACAAACACGATTGAAAGTATTGAGTATATAAAATAAATGTTTACGGCACAAAACAGCATTAAATCAATATTAACTAAGCATTTGTATTTGCATTTTTCGTAACATCAGAGGTATTTGGCAACTTTATGGGTGACAAAGGTTGAAAATCAGTTGTTATTACGTACAATTTCTAACGTAATTAAATGTGAATCATAGCCTATTTGGTCTATAATTATTGCAGCTATAATTTGTCTTCGCAAATAATAGGGACCAGAATCAATCCACAGTGTCTTGGTATTGACCGAGTGTTAGGCAGATTTATTTATGAATTTCTTTATACTAAACCCTTTTTCAATCTGTGTGCTACTTGAAAAAAAGGTTGCCGGTTCGCCGTTGAAAAGCCACATTTTTTGGAGTTCAAGGGGACACAAATACCGTACTACCTATGTATGTTTATGTGAAGACAGTAAAAATAGACTTACCTCAGGTTGTTCCGTAGGCTGTTCAGTGGGTTCGTCAGTGGTCGGCTCCGTAGAGGGTGGTCCGTACTCTTGTGGTGGAGGTCCGTAGGAGGGTGGTGGCGACTGGGGTGGAGGCCCGTACACTGGCCTGGGGGTTGAGGAGTCTGTCTGACGAGCAGGCAGTACCAGGAGGCGGCCAGAGGGGCGCCAGCCTGAGGGAGGGTAGGGTCCGGAGGCGGGAGGGTAGGGCCCGGAGGCGGGAGGGTAAGGAGCGGCGGCCGGGGGCTCTGCCACCACAGCCACTACAAGCATTGCCAGAGGAACCAGTATAGTCTGGAACAAAATTGGGAATCATTATTTTGAGCTTATATTTATTATGTCTTGTTGTCTTCAGTTTTTTTCACTAATGTACTGTACTAGTTATTTGCCACGAAGACATATATTTTCCTGTAAAAATGCTGTATCCGTTTGTAAATAAATAAACGATGACATTGGGCAGAGTGAATAAAAACAAGTAAAAGAGTTTACTTGCCTTGAATTCTCAGAATTTGAGTATTTACTTGGGCAGAAGTGAATAAACACGAGTATTTACTTGTACTTGTAAGTAAAACCTTGCCAAGGAAGTATACCCTCAGAAACCTATCAATTTGGTGTGAATAACCACGAGTAAATACTTGTCTAAAGAGTAAATACTTGTTTTTCAACAAGTTATAAGTAACCCATGCTTGTTTGAGTTTACTTGTTGAAAATGCATGTAATACATTCAATACATTTATTTATAATTATGTATGACACAAGTGTTTTTGCAAAATAAATACTTGGGGAAAAGTTGGAACCCTTAATGCAAGAGTCCAAAAATATTAATTAAATAAAAAAAGTTTTTTTAATTTTAAACTAAATGTACTGTATTGTATTTTTGCGGTATTCATTCGTTGTTCAAGCTACGTGTTATTGAAAAACCACAAGTCTCAATAATAAAAAAATAACATTACATGTTACACGTTTAAACCAAATTCTTCGACCTTCAATAATATTATGGGACTCTTGTACATCAAGCTAGGATAATTAATTTTTTTATGCCTCAAAATAGATTAAATTCTCTCATTTAAGCACACATATTCTTAAAATTCTACCGTGGGAGGACCTCCGGACCCCTTGGCAACCTCCCCCCAAAAAAATATAGGTCTAGAACCGCCCTTGCAATTAATGTATGTAAAATTAGCTGTTATAGATACATACTACAGCAGTGCTGTTCACTAGTAACATGTAAATATATACAAGTAAGAGCACATAGGGATACCAGAATAGTAGAGAAAGGTAAATTTGTTTATGAGAAATAAGCTACAAGTATTTACTTGTACCTCGTATAAAGTTTACTTTGAAAGTAGTAAATACTTGCAAGTATACCCTCAGATCAGTGAGTATACCCTCTCATTTAGGAAGTATTTACTTGCAAGTAAAGAGTCGCTTTTATTCACAAGAGTTTACTTGGAAGGATGAATACTTGCAAGTATTTACTCGCAAGTAATTACTTGCTGTACTTGTTTTTATTCACTCGGCCCAATCGGGGAAAACTGAAGAGAAAGAGTCTTTGAACAGCTATAAAACAAATAATGGTGACACGATTTTTAATTGGGAAGGCTGAAGATGAATAAGTCTTAAAGCAGCTCTGGAAAAAAACGATTCCAAAGGACTTTTTATGTCGGATTGATAGATGTCATGAAACAGCTCAAGTGAGTTCAAGATCAATTGAAATACAAAAGGAATATGAAATTTGGAATTGTTAACAGTTTTGTATACTTTTATACACATACATAGATATATATACTTAGTTATGAGTATTCAAGTAATCACTCCTCGCAACTTTCTGCTGTCTTTAAATTATTCTAGTTAAAATAATCACCTTTGACTAAATATACACAACAGTGAATAAGATACCATACCCATGGTAAGGCTGTGCCAACTTTAAGATGAAAGAGGTAGTTAATTGAGGTACCGAAAGAGTGCTAACTGTCAAATACTGATTTATTTGTATTGATTTATTGTTTGCATAAGTGAAAGCTATATATTTTTTGGTTATAATTATTACTCTTGATAAAAAAGTTTCGAATAAACACAATTATAGTTCAAACTGTCGTATTAAATCCATAGTGAATTAAATGCACAAATTTGGCATTCAAGTCTGGTTTTGACGTACTGTAAAAAAATGTGTAGCCCACTTGTGTAAAAAACCTGACTTGCACGCTTGTACATACGTAAAAATAAACACATTGAATTCCAGAACTGCAAATTGACACAAGTCACATTAGAGAGTAAACAAAACAAAACCTAACATTCGACGCAGCCTGCGTATCTCACGCGTTTTGCGGCACTTTGAAGGCGCAACTAGAGTGGTCAAAAGGCAACTAAGAGGCTATTTTATACTGATTAAATTATATTGGGACGTTTTGTTAAAGATTCACTATGTGTATAGTTGGTGTCTCTCGCCTGTGTTTTATGGTTAACTTAAAGGGGATAACAATACTCCACCATGTAAAGAAATTAAAAATAAAAAAGAGTATGAAGAATAAACGTCTTAATTTACCGGTTGGAACGGTTGGATTACATTACTAAATTTAAAGGTACTGTTACAGTAACCACTTGATATACAATGTTGTCCAATATGCTTGCGATTATATAGAGGGAATCGGTTGTCAAATTCTTGACCGGTGATACACGTGTAATCTATTTGACTTTACAAAAGAATTTACATTTTACAAATTGTCAATAAATGCTCTATTATTTTTAATAATACTTGCTACCGGTAACGAATTTTGTTCAGTTTTAAAGTGAAGTTAGAAGTCTGAAAATATTACGGTTGTACAAAAAATACATTGACGCTTTTATTTATATCTTAGCACGCACTTATTTATTTATAAATTGATATATTGTTATTACAAGTTTGAAAAATCTTAAGTTGGTTCATTAAATTTAATAATTTGATATAATCTGACTACTAAACATACACCAATTATGTGCTAACAGTATATCAATACCATAACCTACCATATTACACGTTTTAATTTTATGAAAATTAAATACAACCGTTGACTTTGAATAGTACGAATAGACTTTTCATCCTATTGTTTTTTATGTGTTTTTCATGTTGGTGATGTGTATTCGAAAAGTTTTATTTTGAGTAAATCTTTTGATCTGTGCTACACTTGACTAGAGGACGAGCTATTGTTTATGATTCGATCTTTTTATTTGGTCAAAATAAGTAAAACAACCAGATACAAATAATAAACAGAATGCCCTAGCTGAACTGACCAAAACTATTAGTTTTGCGGCATAATGTATTTTTGTGGGATTTTGAATTCAGCAATTGTAGGATTGGTGGCGATAGATAGGGGAATGACTTGTTGTAGAATTGTGTGCTACCGGGTGTTGTGTCTAAAGTGTGGCCTAGCTAGTGTTTTCGACCGCCATCTTGGATCCAACTTATTGGATATTAATAATAAAAGTTTTTAAATAAAATAATAGTTTTGTGACACATCATTATAAACTAGATTTTCACGCTGATTTCAATGCCGAAAGTCGTTTTTAAATATATCTTTTCCTTTGGAAGATACAGTATATTTAAATCAAAACTCTCCCCATACATTTCTTATGAACGTTTCATACTTTGAATATTTTAAAGATCATTTTTCTTATATCTCCAGTTTTTATCAACGATTGCAGTTAGTTCAAGCCTTAAAATAGTCAGTGATGTAAGGGCTTTCATTTAAACTATTGATTATTAAAATCGGATGAGCTGGAGTCATAATTCATAATTCTGTAAGATTGTTAAAATAAATTTAAAATCGTCCCAGTCAATGCTATAAATAATTTACACTTCACTTAAATACACTACAAGAGAGAAAAACACTGCACCCTACTTATCTAAGATGAAAAAAATCAATGTTAAAAAAATGTCTACATACCATGATGTGGGAGCACAATCGATTATGTGTTGGTCAGTGGACTAACGTTATATACTGGCTTGTAACATTGACGACGGTGGGTTACATCAATGGTGTCTAGCCTTGCTGATACGTGAACTCCATAGCTATGAGCTGACACAATCGTCATCATCACGGGTCTACCTCCTCCAAGAACAGGAAGTCATGGCGATTACCCCAAGGCGAGGAAACTGGTCGAGTTTGGTGATTTTGTTAGAAACGGAGTGGGATAGTTATCGGGCCATTCGGGATCAGGAGTCCTATGGGCTGAGACAAGAAGAGGGTGTTCAGGATGTAGAGGACGTGGATGTGGAGGGCGGTAATAGGGTTCTCAGTGCCCGGGGCTCCAGAACTCTGGGGTTGTTGGTGTAGTGACACATCGGCCCAGTAACACTTCGTCCCAATCGCTTTAAAAGTTAATTAAGCTAACGGAGTAACATTTTGGCCCGACGAAAAATTAAGATGGGTTGAGGACCACAGTTCAGGTAGTACTGTATACTTTCAATTGATACTTTCAAGCACTCTGTGAGGGAATGCCGTCCAACCGTTACCCTTTCTCAACCCCATCCTTTACGAGGGAAGACGTTGCTAATTTAAATGCTCTTCCTAAGAGTGAGGTCTAACTCACACCTAACCTAACCTAGACTTACCCAACCTAACCTAACCTTACCTTACCTAACCTAACCTAACCTAACCTAACCTCATGTGGAAATTAGTTATTGACAATAATTGTCTTCATCGAAGCTTTGTGGATCGCAGTTCAAGGTCAGTCAATTTTAAATCTAATGCCTTTTGTTAGTTTTTAAGTTGTTGTTAGTTTTTTCTATCTTTCCAAATAGTTAGTGGAGATCTGTCATATATTTTTGGGACGAAGAGTTACTAGTGAACAGGTAGAGAGTTGGACCTAGGCCACATCTGAGGATTTTGGGCCGAAACGGTATGACTCGGGGTTGTTGACAGGAATCTGAATCAAAAGATACCTACTATTACAAAGAGTTAGGTTAGGTTAGGTTGGGCTTGCTTGAGTTGAGTTAATTTAAGGTAAAAAACGTAACATAAGTTTTTCATAGATGTGTCACTGATGGTTTACTTTCATTATTCAGCATCACTAAGTCTTTAGGTCCCCGAAGCTTGTGTAAAACCTACATGTTCACGATACTTCAGCCCTTGCGCTGTTTCCAGTGTACTTCTTTGGGATTTTCTTAACAATTGTCAGCTCTAAGTAGCTGAGATCGTCGAAAATAGCCCATTTCCATACAGCTGAGATCGTCGAAAATAGCCCATTTCCATACAGCTGAGATCGTCGAAAATAACCAATTTCCATACAGCTGAGATCTTCGAAAATAGCCCATTTCCATACAGCTGATATCTTCGAAAATAGCCCATTTCCATACAGCTGAGATCTTCGAAAATAGCCCATTTCCATACAGCTGAGATCTTCGAAAATAACCCATTTCCATACAGCTGAGATCGTCAAAAATAGCCCATTTCCATACAGCTGAGATCGTCGAAAATAGCCCATTTCCATACAGCTGAGATCTTCAAAAATCTTCAATTTCCATACACCAAAAACAAATAGTGATCAGCTCACTTTTCCTGACATAAACATTACTTTCGCTACACAAAAAACGACATCAACAAAGTTGCAACTGAAGTTTCCGGTTAGCTCAACATGACAAACAAACAGAAAACAACAACTAAAGCGTGGTTATCGCCTCCTGAAAGTATATCATCTTATGAGGTGAAATGAAAAAAAAAACACCCCAAATGAAAATGTTACCCAAATCGCAAGATCCGTTTTCAAGATGGTCAATTATGGAATAATGTTAAACTAAAAAATATATATTCGATTTTTGAAGTAGGTGAATGGTAACAAAATATTTTTAATGATTTCAAAACTTACTGAACACCCTTTCAAATAACCTGATCAGTCTGTATTTCAATTGCGTTTATCATAACTTGGTTCTCTACATTACTTTACATTGTTCTATCAAATTTAATAATTCGTAAAATAATAGTAAGTTTCTATCTTATGGAAATAATTTAGAAATGTAGCCCCAGTTCTTTTATGATAAGAGAACTCTAACCGCAGTTTTGCGCTATGGTTCTTTAGACCTCAGAATGTCACATGTATAATTAAGTCCTTTTCACGTAATATTCTGCCCTATTTAAACTTTTACGAACTAGCTATAAAGATCATAAACGATTTTTGGATATTGTCAAATCCCGGTTAGCAATCTAAATAACTGGAGAACCCTTATTAAAAACAAGCATTGATAAACCATCTATCCATCTATCCTTAAGGTATTGGACTTTAAACTGATGGTCCTAGCTAAAATACCAGCTTAGTAACCAAGCTATCATCTCATTCGTATTCGCTCAAAATACGTGCGCTCTGGTACGTTGTGCACCTTAGAATCTGAGCCATAGAGTTGAAAAGATAACACTTGTCAAAGACCAAACCAGTAACTTGTCTTAAATAACGCTTTAACATTTTGTATATTATTTTAATTACATCTTCTATTAATCGAATTGAGTTCTGTAAATTACACTCCTCAGTCACTCTAATTGGGTTTAATTTCAAACGCCATGTGCATTACAGTAGCAACTATATAAAAAGTTAGACATTTATAGCGCGTTTTATAAACATTTCATCAGTGTACCCAAAACGATTTTACGGTGTTTTGTAACATGGCGTGACGAATAGAAAGATTGATAACGTTTTGATATCTGAGTCCGATGGCGGCGTAAATCAACACTCCGCGCACGTCTTCTACCCACGACGTTTCGGTAGTAGCATCACGTCCGTCCTCACGGCCTTCTCTATATTACCAGCCTTCTTGGCCATAACGCATGAAGATGGGGTCACACAATATCGCGGTAAATGTAGTCTGTGGGAAAATGTTTCTGCTAGACCCCCATGTGTGAATTTGTCTTCATGTTTACTTTTTCTAAGATTTTTTGTTGATTGGAAACACTACTTTTTCGTACTACTTTCTGAGGATGTTTCTGCGGTATCTTTAGTTTCTCCTATTGTACATAGGTACAATAGGAGAAACTAAAGATACCGCAGAAACTTCCTCAGAAAGTAGTACGAAAACTACTACTATTACTATTATTATTATTATTATACTATTATAAAGTGGAAGTATTGATTTCGTCAAAATTTCCGAGTTTGAGTTTTGGGTGAATTTCTCCCCCCCTCCCCCCCTTGAACCGTTGTTGTACACCTAATAGCTACGAGAAATTATGAAAACATGTTAATCTGGGAATTCCATAAGCTGTTCTTAAGGAGAGTAAATAAACTGTTGTAATTTGCTTCTTTGTTGATACTTTGAAATGTGGATGAAAGATTTGCCCAGTCGTAAGTATACGCTTTAATAATTATTCGGGTAAGTTGTGACGCATATTGAGTGGCTAGTGTGCACCTATTAAGTTGTAGGGTAAGATTAGAAACAATTGAAAGACTTCCATTTCTTATGACTTGTGGTTGTGAGAATTGTTTACAAACGGACACCGTTTGTAGCCCAAGACGATTAGCACACAAATAGCAAGGAGTGTATTACGACCAGAGTCAAGCATTGTTTTGGAATCGCTTAACGAAGCAACTAACTAAACGCCCGGCCTTGCTATAATGCCTTGGCTTTCGTCTTAACAACTGCTGCAGTTTTAGAACAACGTTTCAATTTTTAAACTATTTAAACAGAATCCTATACAACTGAGAAATGCGAATAAAATGAACTTGAAGGAGAAAAGTACCCAAATGAAATAACAGCTCCATTTTACACGACGCAAGTAATGTGATAATATTTATATGGGGTTTGATATTAAAATATTAATTTTCTAGCTAGCGATAACACAGGTTATACACATTAGCCACTACTCAAATCCTACTTGCATGCATCGTTTTTGCCATCTCTACTTTGTTCCTTTTTGTTGGTATTGTCTGAGTTTCTTGTAGTAAGAACTCAACGGAATTGAACAATGGAAATTTTTATCGTTTCGGAATGAGCTAAAATTCTGCATTTTTGTCAATTAGTCACTTGTGCACTATTTCAACAGACCGAAATGTTACACTTTCAAGAAGCCATTCATCACTTTAGCAGACCTTGGGCCGGGGAAGGTCGCCAGCTGCACTTGAACATTAACTATGCATTGTGTGAAACACTGCAGAGTGCGATGCATCTTTACTTCATCATCAATCTTTGGTAACTAGCATCTTTACGTTCAGAGATTCATGGTTACCTTACTCTGGATACATTGCCACGGATACACTACCTTGGGTCCATTGCCATAACTACTCTGTCTCTGATAGGAGTGCGATGGAAACTCTAACATGGGTACACTTCCTTATATTATACGTTATATGCATTGATATCCTGGATACGATCACTTGAGTAGACTGTCTTCGGTGCAGTTCCGTGAATACTTCAACTGACCACATCACCACTACACCACCATCCTTGGATAAATTACCATGAACACGTTACCATGATTACACTACCATGGATACAGTTATCATGGATTCGTTACCTCGGCCATATTGCAATGAATAACAACATTTTAAGCAAGTAGTTAGTTAATTCTTTTTAGTCACCCTTTCTGATAAGAAATAACACGACATGTTTATTGTAAGTGTAAACTATAAAGATACAGTAATTTGAAATATATTCTGCGAATCGTGGCGCCAGTTACCGAACCGAAAGCTATTCAATACCCATGACCAGATAGCGTATATAAACTCTCATATCATGATGACAAATCTGGTAAAATACAAATGTATTATTGCAGAAACATAGGTTCTATCGGATTAAATACCAGTCCACCGTTTCTTCAGCTGGGTTAATTATAGACTAACCACATGTTTTATCTATGGTACCTAGTTATTAAAAATTATGTTAATTTTCAGCCTTTAATGTTTTAATAGAGGTCTCTATGGAAATAGATTACAAAGATGTGTCTGTTAATAAAATATAACTACTTCCTTATATAAAAGGACTCAAAGATTAAATTAATTATGTACTCAACTTAAAT